TCTGCCTCCTCCGTTCAGAACGGGTAGCGACTCCGTTGCTGACTGGTATCTTCGTCGTCGTTGCGTCTGTGTTCGTCAGCCGTCGTTATGCTGCCATGCCCCTGGCTGGCAGAGGGCAATGAGCAGGTTCTGATCGCCGAGTTTTCGCAGTCTGCCGCAGACCCCCAACAGCCTGCGCGGCCCTTGCTAACCAGGGCGACGAACGAGCCGGTATGATTTTCGATGGCGTCAATACCATGAGTGGCAGGTGGCAATATTTTGTGGAGACTTAACCACGGTTTCCAACTCTTTCCCTCTCTCATCCGGGCTTGAGACTCCGCAGGCGGAGTTTCTGGGCTTGGGAATGGCAACGGAAGAGTTATGACACTATTCTGCAGTGATATATAACAAATCGGTCAATATTTTAAAACTACATCATTTTATCGCCTCATTTATGTTTCGATACACAGCTCTTATCCTGACTGAAAGATGATTTACTTACGTTGCATTGTGCTAAATCGTCTTAAACCTAAAACTTTATTTAGTTTCAATGTTATAATGTTTACTATATTTCTGAACTGTAATGCACCTGCCTTTTCCTCGAAGAAGAAAAGATTCGTCTCCGTTAACGTGTCTCTCTCGCCCTCATTCAACCAGGTTGTATGCTGATCTCGTGGCCGACGTTTGTTGTGTTTCGGCTCACGCGAGCGAAGCTGGCGTTCTGGAATAAATGGTTTATTTATGCTCAGTTACCTTGTCCAACAGTGACAGCTACGTTTCTTAAGATTCATATGCAGGGGAGATACGTTTGTTCGGAATAAGATAGATTCATTTCTTATCTGGTAGTACATCATGTAACACTCGTCATGCGTCGAGGCAAATTTTGTTATTCGTTGTTTAACCGATATATCCATAAGCGATATGAATTACGATAATGTTGTTTCTATTGGTAATAAAAAAAGCGATATTTAAACTAATTTTTAGGAAGTGCCTTTAAGAAGAGAAACAGGATCGAAAGTTGCCGAGTCGCTTCAGATACGTAACTCAGACCGAAATTTTCTGAATGACCTGGAGGATCGGTTAAGAACTCGGCGAATCTGCATTGCGATATTTTCGATGTTACTGATTCTGGGAGTAGCCGCGCTAGCACTCGGCCTCGCTATTTACTACAACTGACTGCTCAACGTCGCCGTGTCTTCGACATATGATTTACAGCGCAAAAACTTTCACTTAAACTCAAAGTTTCAGGTGTAAACAGTACAAAAATAAACAAACATACTGTACCAAATCAAAACAAGTAAACAAAAACAGTTCAGTCGGAGTAAATAACAAAATCCATAAGCTGGTCATTTTCATCGGCAGGCAAATCGTCTAGGATCTGCTCTTTCAAGGCAAGGCCGATGACCTGCGGTTTTGTTTTGAATGTCTCAACATAGCGCTTGATGTACGTGTCGTAGTAACCTTTGCCATGACCAAGGCGTTTGCCGCTTTTGGTGAAAGCAATTCCGGGGGTGATAATTACGTCCAGGCCTCCTACATAAGGATTTATTTTAGTAACAGAATCAATGGCATACATTTTTGACATATAGGGTTTTGCATCAGCAATAAATTTGAAAGTTTCTAAGTCCATTAATGGAGCAAACACGTTAAGCTGGTTTTATGTAAATCAGATTTAGCCCACCCCATTGCATACATGTTTATAGCATGAGCATACAGAAGTATATTACCATGTTTTAAGGTTATTTTTGTCAGCGTGATTCATAAAATGCACGCGCAAACTGTATTTCAGTATTTACTAATTAATATAAAACAGTATAATACATTATACGCAACATAGCAGCCTGCTGATCGAGTCTGCTTCGGTGAGAGAGAGTCCAACCCTCTTGAAAATTGGTTTACATTTGAGCACTAAGCAATTGAGTTAGTACAACTTAACTCTCCGTAGATAATACGCAAGGCCACACGACAAAGCTATATGAACCAAAAAGTTTTTGGACACCAGTCAAATCCACCAATGATATCCTTTTCAACGATGGAGGCTTTGATATACATGTTCTTTGAAGATAGATTCAGTCCGCTTTCAGAACTAGCACTTTTCCCACCTGATGCTGCCTTGATCAGACAGTGTCATCAATCATTTCAATGCTCTAAAAACTAGGGACTGCCATGCCTGTGTCATGCCATCCATCACTCAGCGATGATCTTATGTTATGGACATGCAACATGCGTCTCTCATAGCCGCTCTACATTATCGATAGGCAATAGATCGATAGATACCGAAGATTATATCGTGTGAATGGTCGTCGCTGAGGGAAGACGCCTATCACCTGGAGTTACGATGGGACTTTGACAACCGAGTTAGGGTACCCTATATCTGTGGCAATGGCCGCACCATGACCACACGTTAGAACATCAGTTTTAGCAAGGCCTGCTACAACGGCATGATTAAGCAAAAAGCAAAAGTTGTTTAATTTAGCCATTCGACCATCTTTAGGAAATTTTCAAGATATGACTTAACAGCGGCTGCTTTCTTCTCTTTGTAGATCACTCGATAACAGGCTACAGGATCATGTATTTCTCTTAGGACTTTTAAGAACCGTGAGGCTTTAGGATTTTCTTCTCCTACCGTGCCATTTCCGCTGTAACCTTGTGGACAGAGACTGTGTTCCTTGTCGCCACGAAATTCGATTCATTTTCTGATTCCAAAGCCAGAAAATCAGAATTGTCGGTGTTGATTCTAGCAACCTCTCCAAACACTGTAAATCAAATTAACTAAATATATCAAACAAACCATTACTTGCCATAAACGATTCAGAACCGACTGGAGAGTTTGATTGTACGTTGTCCAAACTCGCTTTTGGATCTGTTCTTCCTTCTCTATATTCAACAGCTTTTCCTTATTATAAAATAGCATCAGACAGTTCGTTTGTTATTGTTGTTGATTAAAATTGGCAGATCATTTCACTCTTCTTCCCTTCAAAACTGTTCGTTCTCACGGTTGATTTTGCGAAACAGAGGTGACGCCTTACGGTCTTGTAGGCGTTGCCCACTTTTGAGTTTCTCTATAACTTTGAATTTCAACTCCGGTTCAAGTTCCGTGTCTTTCCTTCAGTTACTCTCTACAATCATGATTGTCCTCTATCGCAATGCATACATTCACCAAAAATCGTTTCAGTGCACGAATATAGGTACACAGAAGGTATACTGTTCAATGGTAAACGAAGCGAGACTGAAGAAGGCACACGCATGCACCCAGTGGCCTGTCTGTTTGTGACAAACCGCTGTTGAGAGGCATGTGAGTACACCGGAGGGCAAAATTAAGTTTTTCCCTAGCCCCTCCAGAATAATTTGTTTAAATCCAAATTTACGTATGTCTGGGTCTGTTGCACGTAGATTTTAATAGGAGACAAATGTTTTGGCGACAACATTGACAGTGTCTTTCTTTGGAGGAGGAAAAATGGAAGCAGAAATATAAACTTTGCATAATAATACAGGATTACAGCTGTTGCATAAAGATTAAGTTGATTATTCAAGCCTACAGCTTGCTGGTGTTCGAAAATGTGTTTGTTCCACCTAAAAAGTAATGCTGTTAGGTTCTGCACCCATGCACTGTAGGTACTAAAACACTATGGAGCCGTGGCCCGCTTAAATGATCCCCTACACTACTGAATACAACGGGGCGGAGCAACTCTACCATTTGGATCCGGAGAAATGGCAGAAGAATAAAGTTGAAGTTTACGCCGTTTCACTTGACTTCGAAAGAATGTCAATTCTCAACATGGAAAAACGAATAGAAGTGTTAGAACAGAAAATATGAAGTAAATAAAAATAAATATAAATTGGAACAATTGCAAAATTTAATAGAATTGTTTGAGTCGTCGTAAATGCGTTGTAGGGCAAGCTCTATGCGGGAGTTTGATGGCAGCAACGACAGATTAAAATTTCTCATTAATTCAGAATTTCTTTAAATATTCAACCACACTGAACGCATTTTTTTTAAACAGAAGTATCGCGATGATTGAAAAACCTTGGAAATCCATAATTCAACAAAGCAGTCCATGCTGATAATATTAAACCAAGAGGTGAAAGATTATGAAAAGACAAAAAAGAATCTCTAAGCAAAACAAAGAAAGGAAGAGGAAAAAGAT